CCCTCTTCCCCCCAGGTGGCCGCAGTTTTCAGTGCCGCCTTTCCACGTGCTCGAGTCCAAGTTCGTCAAGAGATGGGCTCAATCCCTCTCTCCTCTCGCTGCGTGCGTCCCTCACACACAAACATCACGTCTCTCCTCACATCACTCACATCACTTCTCGCCTCACCCCTCTTCCCCCCAGGTGGCCGCAGTTTTCAGTGCCGCCTTTCCACGTGCTCGAGTCCAAGTTCGTCAAGAGATGGGCTCAATCCCTCTCTCCTCTCGCTGCGTGCGTCCCTCACACACAAACATCACGTCTCTCCTCACATCACTCACATCACTTCTCGCCTCACCCCCCACCTTCCCCAGGTGGCCGCAGTTTTCAGTGCCGCCTTTCCACGTGCTCGAGTCCAAGTTCGTCAAGAGATGGGCTCAATCCCTCTCTCCTCTCGCTGCGTGCGTCCCTCACACACAAACATCACGTCTCTCCTCACATCACTCACATCACTTCTCGCCTCACCCCTCTTCCCCCCAGGTGGCCGCAGTTTTCAGTGCCGCCTTTCCACGTGCTCGAGTCCAAGTTCGTCAAGAGATGGGCTCAATCCCTCTCTCCTCTCGCTGCGTGCGTCCCTCACACACAAACATCACGTCTCTCCTCACATCACTCACATCACTTCTCGCCTCACCCCTCTTCCCCCCAGGTGGCCGCAGTTTTCAGTGCCGCCTTTCCACGTGCTCGAGTCCAAGTTCGTCAAGAGATGGGCTCAATCCCTCTCTCCTCTCGCTGCGTGCGTCCCTCACACACAAACATCACGTCTCTCCTCACATCACTCACATCACTTCTCGCCTCACCCCCCACCTTCCCCAGGTGGCCGCAGTTTTCAGTGCCGCCTTTCCACGTGCTCGAGTCCAAGTTCGTCAAGAGATGGGCTCAATCCCTCTCTCCTCTCGCTGCGTGCGTCCCTCACACACAAACATCACGTCTCTCCTCACATCACTCACATCACTTCTCGCCTCACCCCTCTTCCCCCCAGGTGGCCGCAGTTTTCAGTGCCGCCTTTCCACGTGCTCGAGTCCAAGTTCGTCAAGAGATGGGCTCAATCCCTCTCTCCTCTCGCTGCGTGCGTCCCTCACACACAAACATCACGTCTCTCCTCACATCACTCACATCACTTCTCGCCTCACCCCTCTTCCCCCCAGGTGGCCGCAGTTTTCAGTGCCGCCTTTCCACGTGCTCGAGTCCAAGTTCGTCAAGAGATGGGCTCAATCCCTCTCTCCTCTCGCTGCGTGCGTCCCTCACACACAAACATCACGTCTCTCCTCACATCACTCACATCACTTCTCGCCTCACCCCTCTTCCCCCCAGGTGGCCGCAGTTTTCAGTGCCGCCTTTCCACGTGCTCGAGTCCAAGTTCGTCAAGAGATGGGCTCAATCCCTCTCTCCTCTCGCTGCGTGCGTCCCTCACACACAAACATCACGTCTCTCCTCACATCACTCACATCACTTCTCGCCTCACCCCTCTTCCCCCCAGGTGGCCGCAGTTTTCAGTGCCGCCTTTCCACGTGCTCGAGTCCAAGTTCGTCAAGAGATGGGCTCAATCCCTCTCTCCTCTCGCTGCGTGCGTCCCTCACACACAAACATCACGTCTCTCCTCACATCACTCACATCACTTCTCGCCTCACCCCTCTTCCCCCCAGGTGGCCGCAGTTTTCAGTGCCGCCTTTCCACGTGCTCGAGTCCAAGTTCGTCAAGAGATGGGCTCAATCCCTCTCTCCTCTCGCTGCGTGCGTCCCTCACACACAAACATCACGTCTCTCCTCACATCACTCACATCACTTCTCGCCTCACCCCTCTTCCCCCCAGGTGGCCGCAGTTTTCAGTGCCGCCTTTCCACGTGCTCGAGTCCAAGTTCGTCAAGAGATGGGCTCAATCCCTCTCTCCTCTCGCTGCGTGCGTCCCTCACACACAAACATCACGTCTCTCCTCACATCACTCACATCACTTCTCGCCTCACCCCTCTTCCCCCCAGGTGGCCGCAGTTTTCAGTGCCGCCTTTCCACGTGCTCGAGTCCAAGTTCGTCAAGAGATGGGCTCAATCCCTCTCTCCTCTCGCTGCGTGCGTCCCTCACACACAAACATCACGTCTCTCCTCACATCACTCACATCACTTCTCGCCTCACCCCTCTTCCCCCCAGGTGGCCGCAGTTTTCAGTGCCGCCTTTCCACGTGCTCGAGTCCAAGTTCGTCAAGAGATGGGCTCAATCCCTCTCTCCTCTCGCTGCGTGCGTCCCTCACACACAAACATCACGTCTCTCCTCACATCACTCACATCACTTCTCGCCTCACCCCCCACCTTCCCCAGGTGGCCGCAGTTTTCAGTGCCGCCTTTCCACGTGCTCGAGTCCAAGTTCGTCAAGAGATGGGCTCAATCCCTCTCTCCTCTCGCTGCGTGCGTCCCTCACACACAAACATCACGTCTCTCCTCACATCACTCACATCACTTCTCGCCTCACCCCTCTTCCCCCCAGGTGGCCGCAGTTTTCAGTGCCGCCTTTCCACGTGCTCGAGTCCAAGTTCGTCAAGAGATGGGCTCAATCCCTCTCTCCTCTCGCTGCGTGCGTCCCTCACACACAAACATCACGTCTCTCCTCACATCACTCACATCACTTCTCGCCTCACCCCTCTTCCCCCCAGGTGGCCGCAGTTTTCAGTGCCGCCTTTCCACGTGCTCGAGTCCAAGTTCGTCAAGAGATGGGCTCAATCCCTCTCTCCTCTCGCTGCGTGCGTCCCTCACACACAAACATCACGTCTCTCCTCACATCACTCACATCACTTCTCGCCTCACCCCCCACCTTCCCCAGGTGGCCGCAGTTTTCAGTGCCGCCTTTCCACGTGCTCGAGTCCAAGTTCGTCAAGAGATGGGCTCAATCCCTCTCTCCTCTCGCTGCGTGCGTCCCTCACACACAAACATCACGTCTCTCCTCACATCACTCACATCACTTCTCGCCTCACCCCTCTTCCCCCCAGGTGGCCGCAGTTTTCAGTGCCGCCTTTCCACGTGCTCGAGTCCAAGTTCGTCAAGAGATGGGCTCAATCCCTCTCTCCTCTCGCTGCGTGCGTCCCTCACACACAAACATCACGTCTCTCCTCACATCACTCACATCACTTCTCGCCTCACCCCTCTTCCCCCCAGGTGGCCGCAGTTTTCAGTGCCGCCTTTCCACGTGCTCGAGTCCAAGTTCGTCAAGAGATGGGCTCAATCCCTCTCTCCTCTCGCTGCGTGCGTCCCTCACACACAAACATCACGTCTCTCCTCACATCACTCACATCACTTCTCGCCTCACCCCTCTTCCCCCCAGGTGGCCGCAGTTTTCAGTGCCGCCTTTCCACGTGCTCGAGTCCAAGTTCGTCAAGAGATGGGCTCAATCCCTCTCTCCTCTCGCTGCGTGCGTCCCTCACACACAAACATCACGTCTCTCCTCACATCACTCACATCACTTCTCGCCTCACCCCTCTTCCCCCCAGGTGGCCGCAGTTTTCAGTGCCGCCTTTCCACGTGCTCGAGTCCAAGTTCGTCAAGAGATGGGCTCAATCCCTCTCTCCTCTCGCTGCGTGCGTCCCTCACACACAAACATCACGTCTCTCCTCACATCACTCACATCACTTCTCGCCTCACCCCTCTTCCCCCCAGGTGGCCGCAGTTTTCAGTGCCGCCTTTCCACGTGCTCGAGTCCAAGTTCGTCAAGAGATGGGCTCAATCCCTCTCTCCTCTCGCTGCGTGCGTCCCTCACACACAAACATCACGTCTCTCCTCACATCACTCACATCACTTCTCGCCTCACCCCTCTTCCCCCCAGGTGGCCGCAGTTTTCAGTGCCGCCTTTCCACGTGCTCGAGTCCAAGTTCGTCAAGAGATGGGCTCAATCCCTCTCTCCTCTCGCTGCGTGCGTCCCTCACACACAAACATCACGTCTCTCCTCACATCACTCACATCACTTCTCGCCTCACCCCTCTTCCCCCCAGGTGGCCGCAGTTTTCAGTGCCGCCTTTCCACGTGCTCGAGTCCAAGTTCGTCAAGAGATGGGCTCAATCCCTCTCTCCTCTCGCTGCGTGCGTCCCTCACACACAAACATCACGTCTCTCCTCACATCACTCACATCACTTCTCGCCTCACCCCTCTTCCCCCCAGGTGGCCGCAGTTTTCAGTGCCGCCTTTCCACGTGCTCGAGTCCAAGTTCGTCAAGAGATGGGCTCAATCCCTCTCTCCTCTCGCTGCGTGCGTCCCTCACACACAAACATCACGTCTCTCCTCACATCACTCACATCACTTCTCGCCTCACCCCTCTTCCCCCCAGGTGGCCGCAGTTTTCAGTGCCGCCTTTCCACGTGCTCGAGTCCAAGTTCGTCAAGAGATGGGCTCAATCCCTCTCTCCTCTCGCTGCGTGCGTCCCTCACACACAAACATCACGTCTCTCCTCACATCACTCACATCACTTCTCGCCTCACCCCTCTTCCCCCCAGGTGGCCGCAGTTTTCAGTGCCGCCTTTCCACGTGCTCGAGTCCAAGTTCGTCAAGAGATGGGCTCAATCCCTCTCTCCTCTCGCTGCGTGCGTCCCTCACACACAAACATCACGTCTCTCCTCACATCACTCACATCACTTCTCGCCTCACCCCTCTTCCCCCCAGGTGGCCGCAGTTTTCAGTGCCGCCTTTCCACGTGCTCGAGTCCAAGTTCGTCAAGAGATGGGCTCAATCCCTCTCTCCTCTCGCTGCGTGCGTCCCTCACACACAAACATCACGTCTCTCCTCACATCACTCACATCACTTCTCGCCTCACCCCCCACCTTCCCCAGGTGGCCGCAGTTTTCAGTGCCGCCTTTCCACGTGCTCGAGTCCAAGTTCGTCAAGAGATGGGCTCAATCCCTCTCTCCTCTCGCTGCGTGCGTCCCTCACACACAAACATCACGTCTCTCCTCACATCACTCACATCACTTCTCGCCTCACCCCTCTTCCCCCCAGGTGGCCGCAGTTTTCAGTGCCGCCTTTCCACGTGCTCGAGTCCAAGTTCGTCAAGAGAGTGGCGCCGGGATACGAGCTCGTATACGTCCGGTCAGTGCACTGCTAGCTAAGGGATTTAGGGTTGTGATATCACACACCGTGTCGTATCACACATTGTGCCATCTTACACGCATCCGCATCCCTTGTGCGCAACTCTCCACTTCGCTGTTCCGTTCCCTCACTCTGCACTTCCCATTGCCACAGCCTCACTAACTGTTATCCATCCACCAACCCTGACCGATTCCCTACCACCCACCCAACCTCCCACAGCTTCAAGGTGCCATGGCCCTTTGCCCAGCGTGACATCCTCTACGTGCTCTTCTCCGTGCATGATGCTGTTTTTGAGTCGACACAAATATTGATTTCCTGCCCCTCACGCCCCTCTGCAGCTTCAAGGTGCCATGGCCCTTTGCCCAGCGTGACATCCTCTACGTGCTCTTCTCCGTGCATGACGCCGCCACTGGCTTCATCGCCACCTCCCTCATCTCTGTCAGTGCCCCCACTTCCTTAAGTGATTTCGGAGTTCATTTAAAAACCATTCTCTATGTGCTGTGCTCTTCTCCGTGCATGACGCTGCCACCGGCTTCATTCATCACCACCTCTCTGATCTCCGTCAGTCCTGCACGCTTCTTTGTGCTCCTCTCTCTGTGCAACAGCTCTCATTCCTCTTTGTCCTCACTTGTTGCGCTCCAGCTTGCACTCTTCTTAAGACAACTGGAACCGTTCTGCACCACTCCGTTTTCTCTGGGTACTCTTTTCCACTCGCAATGCGGCTCCTGCTGCTACTGCTCCTCTTTGTGCGCCACTTTACGCTTCGGTTTGCCCTGAAATCGTTCTCTTTCTCATTCCATGTTTTTCCCCATGATCACATACTTCCTAGTTCTTCTCACATGGTTCCCCTCCCCATCTCATCGCATACCTCCCCCTCTCCTCACATTTTTTTCTCGTCTCGCTGTGTGCTGCTTCTCTCCGCCAGTTCCCAGAAGATCCAGGTGCCTTTGACCCTGACTCGTATGGCTTCACCAATGACGGCGTGCCACGTGTGCGCTCCGGGGAGGTCCGCATGAGAGTGAAGGGCGGCTTTGCCGCCAAGGACCTTGGCAACGGCCACTGCTACTTCCGGTGAGTCGCAGCGAAGATAAGTTCAAGTCATGCTTTCCGGCGCCTCGTGAGAGTGTGAAGGGCGGCTTTGCCGCCAAGGACCTTGGCAACGGCCACTGCTACTTCCGGTGAGTCGCAGCGAAGATAAGTTCAAGTCATGTTTTCCGGCGCCTCGTGAGAGTGTGAAGGGCGGCTTTGCCGCCAGGGACGTTGGCAACGGCCACTGCTACTTCCGGTGAGTCGCAGCGAAGATAAGTTCAAGTCATGTTTTCCGGCGCCTCGTGAGAGTGTGAAGGGCGGCTTTGCCGCCAGGGACGTTGGCAATGGCCACTGCTATTTTCGGTGAGTCACAGCGAACGAATGAGGCCATCAATGCCTATTATTCTCTGTGTCGCACCAACCTCTGTCATCCACTCCTCTCGTTCCTTGCTCTTCGCTTCCCCTGCCACTCCGTAACCTCTGCCACTCACTCCCCCCTTCCCCTGCTTCTTCCAGTGGCATGGCAACGATTGACATGAAGCTGAGCCTCATTCCTCATCCATCCTCTTCTATTTACTCCTAACCCCTTCTGTCACCCCGCTCACCCTATCACTCCACTTGATTCCCCTGCTCCAACCGCCCCTGCTTCTCCCAGTGGTGTGGCAACGATCGACATGCAGCTGAACCTCATCCCATCAGGGCTCATTCACCCCCATTCCTCCCTGCTACCCCCCTCCCCTGCCACTCCGGTTCCCCTGCGACTCGCTCATGCCTTCCCCCTGCTTCTCCCAGCGGTGTGGCAACGATTGACATGCAGCTGAACCTCATCCCATCGTGGCTCATCAACTTCGTGTCGCGACAGCTGGCGGGGTCTGGTTACCACATGCTCTACAACGTGCGTGTGCCTGACATGTCTGCTGGTGGTGCTGTTGCTGCCCCTATTGCTGCTGCTGTCTCCACTCTTTTTCGTGCACCTAACACTTACTGTTTTGTTGTGTATGCTGTTGATGTCAGCACTAGCTTGTTCGTTAGGCAATCCTCTTAGCCATTCTCTTCGCTTCCCCCGTTCTCGCTCTCTCATTCTCTCTCTTCTCCTTTCTGCGTTCCCCACCCGCCCTCCCTGCAACCCGCAGGAGATAGAGAGTGTGGCGGACGGCAGCAACAAGGAGGCGGACAAGTTCCGTGCGCTGCTCCTCACAGACCCTTTCTACTACTCCGTCGGCCGCGCCATGCGCTCCCACCGTGCGGCAGCAGCAGTACAGAGCGAGTGACCTCATTCTCACTCGCTCCCTCACTCTCCCTCCATTTTCTCTCTCCCACTCTCCCGCTTTCGTTCTCTCGTTTGTTTCTTGTTCTCTCTCTCCATTCCACATGCCCTTCCCTGCAACCCGCAGGAGATAGAGAGTGTGGCGGACGGCAGCAACAAGGAGGCGGACAAGTTCCGTGCGCTGCTCCTCACAGACCCTTTCTACTACTCCGTCGGCCGCGCCATGCGCTCCCACGCTGCAGCCGCAGCAGCGCAGGGCGAGCGGGCGAAGCAGGAGCGGGAGCAGCTGCAGCAGCAGGGTGAGGCGGAGTCGTTCCGTCAGATTGGGGAGCGAGTGGAGAAGGAAGTCGAGAGGCTCGTTACCAGCACGTCTGGGAGTGAGAGTGAGGTTACTGCTGCTGCTGCTGCTGATAGTGCTGCTGGTGCTGCTGGTGGTGATGTGGGAGTTTTGAATGCAGCTGAAGCGTTGGCAGAGGCAGCTGCTGCGCCTGTTCCCGCTGCAGCAGGAACACCCACAACTGCCCCCCCTGCGTCAGTGGTGAGACCACCACGGCCCCCCTCGCCCAGGAAGCTTGTGGCTCCTGCACCACCACCCGCTGCAGCAGCAGGCTCTCAAGCGCTCCAGTATGGGCAGCTACAGCAGAGGGATCCGGCAATCTTCCATGCGGTTACCACCCTTGATCGTGCCATTTCCTTTATGAGAGCCAGAGCAGCATCTCAGCGCCAGGCAGCAGCAACTGCTGCAGGGAGTGGTGCTGCTGGGCTCCCAGGCCTGGTACCGCCGAAGCAAGAGGTTTGGAGCTACAGTGGCCAGCTTCGGCCCGCACCTAGGCAGGGTGAGAGTGGAGGGGGTGGGGATGCTGGGGAGAGTGGTGGGAGTGGGGAGGGGCAGACAGAAGGGAGGGTGTGGATGCTGACTAGGACAATATCAGCTGGACCTGGCGATCATGCAAGGGGTGAGGGGCTTGAGCTTGAAGCAGCAAGATTGGTCCAAGAATCAACACCAGTGCCAGCATCAGCACCAGGGGCAGCAGCGACAGAAACATCTGTACCACAATCAGCAGCAGCAGCAGCAGCAGCAGCAGGGGCAGCAGCACATGGAGTCACAGCAGCGCCGTCAGCAGCAGCTGCAACACCCGCTCCCTCTGTGGCAGCTGAGCCTGAAGCAGTGGAAAAGCAAGATGGCACGGATGCAAGCAGGGATGTACCTGTGCCAGTTACCAGTGCTGCAGAGGCGAGTGGAAGTGGTGAACGCCCATCTACGGCTCCCATTGGAGGGAAGGGAGGGAGGGATGAAGGGAGGAGGGTGACTGAGGGAGGGGAGGATGCAGGCAGCAAGGGTAACAAGAAGCAGGGTGGGAAGAGACCTTGGCGCAAGGGGTTTTTTGGTCTCAAGTTCTCCAGAAGTCCAGGGTAATTCAACCTCTTGAAGGGTGTCATTTATGAGCCAGTATGTACTGTACCAACACACCAGTAAGTATGTAATCCTTCACTTGATCTATAATAGCTATGCTGTCCCATATGCAGATCAGGCCTCTCGTTATCAGGGTAAAATACCCTTTTTGCACTGACTGGCGGCCGCTTTTTTTCAGTTACCCTTTCACAGGCAGGGTAGTGGATTTTTTACCCTAGGCCAGAAAGTGTAAGATTTTTAATACCCTTCAAAAAACAGCGTAACGAACCTTTTTCTCTGACTGTACAGTGTACAAGCCCAGTTACACTGATCCGAACAGACCGTAGCGAGACGAAACACTATAGCAAAATTCTCCCGACAATTAGACTCGAACCGGCGACCTTTCAGATCTAACTCGGAATGAGTGAACTGAGCCAACAACCACAATACCTTGTCCTTTAGACTATATTCAAATGTATATTGTAATAAATACCCTGACCAAACAGACTTACAATTTTTTTACCCTGCATTTGTCAGGGAAACAAAAAAATTACCCTGAGCATCAGGGTTGACTATACCTAGGACCCTGATTACTAAGGGTCGCCCAAAACGAATCTGAAGGCCTGATGCAGATATGATGGCTGGTCTTAGGTTCGACCTCCTTGTTCTATGATGTTTATGCTGTCCATAGTGACATACTGTAGCTGTACTTATCCACCTGCATCATCATTGCACAACATAGCTGTCAATATGCATTGTCTAGAATACTAAAGTTCTAAACCGTCAGGGCTGCAACTTGGTGGAAGAAGCCAAGCCCACTACCCCTACCTGGATTTCAGAGCAAGCCTGGGAAAGAGGAGAACTGGAAAGCTGAGAAAGACTACAGGAGTTGTGATGGATGAAAGGGGGACAATGTCACTTCGTGTAAACACCCAATTCAAGAAGACATTCCTTGTGCTGATTGAATGGGCGAGTGTCTGACAAGAAGCGGTGGCCTCCATTCCTTTCGTTGCCGCTCTGTTGCCAGTCTCTCTTCGTACATCTCCTTGGTCTCTACCTGAACCAGCCGTTTAACCTGCAAGCAAAGACATAAGAACAACAAATTAGTGCCTTGTCGGGGTATCGCGTTACTAACATCCTTCAAAATAAACGTTCCACGCACGAGCAGGAGGCCCGAAAGTGGAAGGCCTGCTGGGAAAAACTTAATCTTCAACCTTCTCAAGCCTCGCTGGGAAAAACGTAGAGTGAATCGACCTCAAACAGTAAATCTATGGAGTATAAATAGTTTCCGCAATAAACGTTATTTCGGCGACGCGAACCGGAGTCCTAAGACGTCATAGCGTGGTAAGTGAGCGCACCTTTTCGATCATCCCTCTGACTGACGGGTTGTTGGGCACCTCAACAGTTGACTCTCGCTTCCGCAGGCCTAGAGCAACAACGGTAGCCCGCTGATCGGACCTTTTTCCGGCCAATCCACGCTTCAGCGTTACGACCAGCCTACTTGACCATCTAATGGCCGGCTGGGCGGATGATGTGGAAGCCATGGCGGAACTTAGGGTCAAGTATCTATCTCGCTGGATAGCTGGAAAATAATGTTGCTGTTAGCGGAAAGGATCCAAACTAAAACACTGTAGCAAAAAACCATATTCGTCACTTCGCACCAAAGCGAAGATTTTGGTGAAGCGTTTGTGTCAGGCAATTCGCACAAGACCCGGGAAGACGTAGGCGAAACTTCTCGTGAAAATATATTCATGTCGTCATCTGTTCGCGAGAACACTTCCCTTCCAAACCGAAGTCAGGTCAGCGACGCAAGTTACTGGCGAAGGCAGACATCAAACTTGAGGCAAGCATGTTTGGCGAACATAACCTGCACATATTTTCCTGAATCCTCTATACCCCTATAGCACGTCAGTCTGTCAGCCAAGTCAGTCTTCGTTTCTCTCTATGGAGCACCCGCTAATCCGGATCCGACGATCGACAGAGGGTTCAGGCACCGACGCACGAGCTCTTAACACTGCGCCTAGCACGTTAACGCTTTCTTCAGCTGCATATCCTCAGTCGACCGTTGGAGAGCTGGCGCGTCGTGCAGTCCCTATTTGCCTAAGCGTTGCTCTGTGTTTGTTGACGTGTGAGTATCGACGGCGATGTGTGATGTTCGCAATACATTCGTCTGAAGATGACTGTTCCTCGCAGTTATCATATGGAGCCTGCGCAAGACAGAATCCTCTTATCGCTTCAATCAATCGCAAGAGCCTGTGCAATCCTGGCAGGGAGAGCTGACGGCAATCAAACTACCAGAAGACAAATTCCTGGCAGTATTCCAAGTTAACAGCAACGAGTGCATCGACAAGGATTTTTCTGAACGCCGGATTACTTTCGCAAAATGTGGATTCATTACCTTGGGAGAAACGTCATGGAACAACGCAACATTCGTGTACTTCGCCGAACAAGCAGTCCATGCAATCTGCTCGCGTGATAATGGAACTGATGGTTCCATGGAACCCAGTATGCTGCGGATCTATTACGACTCTGGCAGCGTGGATCTGCTAATTCGCAAGGTTCATCAGGCGTCCTGGAATGGATTAGTGTATGCTGCGGCAGCTGAACCCGAAGGCCTCTATGTCTGGGCGAAAGGCATCGCTCACCTTCACAACGGAAGTCTTCACGGTCAGGTCAAGTGCCTGATCGACAGAGTTGAGACAGCTCCGCTGATACTCTCCCAGGAGATTGCGCTCTGTCCAATTTCTCGGACTAATGTTATACAGTCAGCATGCGGCTGTCCCGACTTTCCAGTCACGCTAACACTACATGGATCACCTTTACCCTCTGTAACTTCCGTCTGTAGGCCCAATATCACGCTCAATTCCACCATCTCAGTATCTGGAGAGGTACCACATGCAGCCAACCACAGTCAAACCAGGAGAAGCGGACACCTTGTTCTCCGGGATGGGTATCCCCATGCCAACACGTCCACCAACGAGTCCCCCCGGAAGCAGTTCTACTTGTGTGCGTGCACAATGGTTCTTGACAGCGCAAAGTTCATGGGGGAGTGGCTACTGTACCATGGATTTCTTGGTGTGGAGCATTTCTTTGTGTATGACAATGGCAGTGAAGATGGGCTTCAGACGTCCGTTGAAGCTGCTCAAGAAACCGGCCGTGCAAGAGGCTTTGGATTCTCAACCTCAATTCGTAGCTGGCCCTGGCTCAAGTCTCAAGAAGGCGGTTTTTCTCATTGTGCTCTTCAAGCCAAGAAGCTCTGCATGTGGGTCATGTTCGTAGATGTGGACGAGTTCATCTTCCCGGCACGGATGGTGAAGAAAATTGAGTCACGGAAGCTCTTTGCAGCTGGAAGTCAGTATGTGTCTCTTCTTCGCAAGTTTGTGAAAGGCCTAGCTAAGAAACATTCTGCAGCAGCGATGGCTACAGGTAGAAATGATTCCTGCGAACAGGTTGGGCAAATTACTCTGCCTTGCCTGATATTTGGCCCATCACGTCACCAAGAGCATCCAAGAAGGGGAGTTGTTTCTGGGTATACGTGCAGGCTGGAGCTTCCTGATCGTCATCAATCAACAGAAGCCTTAGCTCCTCCACACAACGTGAGCTCCCCTTTACCAGTTTGGAACATGTACTGCACACTGAATGTGGGGCATACACACGGAGCTATTTTCCACTACAAGTACCAGGCATGGCCGAATTCAAGACCAAGTTCAGGAGGAGAGCTTCCACTTTTGTGGCTGACTGGACGCAGATGGATAGGATGCAGTCCAAGGATCGGGTTCCGGACTTGGGTGTGGAGGCAATCGAGCTGCTGATTGGAAGGATCGCTATTGTGAATTGAAGATTACAGGTGAAAAGGACTTTGACACGGATTGCATCAGCCACTTTCTACTGGCGCTATGAGAATGCGTTGAATGCAATGCACCACTTATTTGAGAGATTATTAGGCACATCTGGACTTGTCTGATAATGTGCACCGTGTGAACAAATGTACGTACAGCAGGTTTGACTTGATCCTTATAAAGAGAATGCTAAGGTTATCACATAATGTCAACATCACCTCTCGTTTGCTTGGTCTGGTGCCTCGTTTGCGTTTGGACCGAGAGTCCAGACCAGAGCAGATTATTGTGCCATCACATCACCACCGACCAACCAAACCGAATTCCTTGGGGATCCCTTCCAGGTCGGTCGGGCTCACATGCCCACCATACCTCGTAGATGTGGACGAGTTCATCTTCCCGGCACGGATGGTGAAGAAAATTGAGTCACGGAAGCTCTTTGCAGCTGGAAGTCAGTATGTGTCTCTTCTTCGCAAGTTTGTGAAAGGCCTAGCTAAGAAACATTCTGCAGCAGCGATGGCTACAGGTAGAAATGATTCCTGCGAACAGGTTGGGCAAATTACTCTGCCTTGCCTGATATTTGGCCCATCACGTCACCAAGAGCATCCAAGAAGGGGAGTTGTTTCTGGGTATACGTGCAGGCTGGAGCTTCCTGATCGTCACAAGTCAATCATCCTCACAGAAGCCTTAGCTCCTCCATTACACAACGTGATTCACCACTTTACCAGTTTGGAGCATGAGTACTGCACACTGAATGTGGGGCATACACACGGAGCTATTTTCCACTACAAGTACCAGGCATGGCCCGAATTCAAGACCAAGTTCAGGAGGAGAGCTTCCACTTTTGTGGCTGACTGGACGCAGATGGATAGGATGCAGTCCAAGGATCGGGTTCCGGACTTGGGTGTGGAGGCAATCGAGCCTGCTGATTGGAAGGATCGCTATTGTGAAATTGAAGATTACAGGTTGAAAAGGACTTTGACACGGATTGCATCAGCCACTTTCTACTGGCGCTATGAGAATGCGTTGAATGCAATGCACCACTTATTTGAGAGATTATTAGGCACATCTGGACTTGTCTGATAATGTGCACCGTGTGAACAAATGTACGTACAGCAGGTTTGACTTGATCCTTATAAAGAGAATGCTAAGGTTATCACATAATGTCAACATCAACCTCTCGTTTGCTTGGTCTGGTGCCTCGTTTGCGTTTGGACCGAGAGTCCAGACCAGAGCAGATTATTGTGCCATCACATCACCACCGACCAACCAAACCGAATTCCTTGGGGATCCCTTCCAGGTCGGTCGGGCTCACATGCCCACCATACCTCACATCTAGGCGCTACCACCGAGTTCTCTTTGGTTCGGTTCCGTGCCAGCCAGAGCTTGCGCTGATCGCTTCGCGCCGTACCGTGCTCCGCGCGAACGCGAAATCAAGTCAGGTTCTCCCCCCTGTTGCTGGCGCTGGCAGCTGTGAGCTTTCCCAGCCTGGGCAGCACAAATGCATCACGAGGACAACTCCACCTTCAACCTATCCCGCTCCGTACGTAAGAGGGCAACTTATTTGCACTCTTTGACCCGCGAACCTAGATCGTCAGTAACTACAGCACGTCACTTTACCATGCTTTGAGACACAAAAAACACCTCTTTTCTTGAACACGCTTCAGTATATTTATACGAAGAGGTCAGGTCTCCAGCTGTGTACACTGTCTTCCCCGTGGTAGCGCATTCCCCACCACGCCTGCCAATCAACCGAACCCACCGGCATAACTCAAATCTTCAAGCTACCTCGCTAAAAGAATCCGCATAGTCTTGCCCGTGTAGTCGTCCCCTTTCTATCATCCACACAGCCTCGTCAACAGAGGCTCATCCGCGTATCATCCTCCGCGAATGGCGCTGCTAGAGGGCGTGATCGCATTCGACAGGTCCGTCGCGTCGCTCCCATGGACCAGCCGCGAAGCAGTCACGGATCTTTTCCGCGCGCAGCTGAATGGACCACCCGCGGATGCGCAGCTGAATGGACAACCCGCGGAGGCGCAGCTGAGCGGACAATCCGCGGATGGCGCCGTATCATCCGGCGCAACCGAGATGACAAAAAGCCTGGAGCGTGGCGGAAGTCAACGCGACAAGAACAGCGGCAGTACTATTGACAGCCCGAAAGAAATGAACGGAGTTAAAGCCAAGGACAGCTGCATCGGGAATGTCGGAAAAGATGGTGGCATGGCGGGCGATAATGAAGCGGTGGTGGAGTATTGGAGCGCGCAGATGGCGGGGCTGCTGGAGGATCTGCGCTCCGTGCGGATTGGCGGCGCTGCGGAGAAAACGGGCGGCGCTAAGACAAAGCTGCGTCGCATGGGGGCAAGGACATGCGATGGAAGGTGATTAGCTGAATGTCGGATGCGACTGGAGGCGAGATGTGTGCTGACAGCTGGCGATGCTTGTATCACTTGTGAGAAGTCTCAGTAGTGATGCAGAGGGTAGTGGTAGGAGGGAGGAAAAGAAAAGCGGTGGCGGCCTTCGCGTACCCAACATGCCCTCCCTCGCCGTCGTCTTTCTCCTGTCACACCCACGCCTCCCCAACCCCCTTCACCGCACCACCCAAACTACCCTGTGTTCCACCTGCCTCGTCCCTCACGCTCCCTGTTCCAGCCGTGCGAGCAAGCAGCAGAGTACCGCACGTTGCACCGCCAGGGCCCCAACGGCACGACCTTCCCCATTATCCGATCCCTTTCTCCGATCCCTGTTCGCATTCTTTCCCCCCCCACCCTCCAGCCATGCGAGCAAGCAACAGAGTATCGCACGTTGTACCGCCAGGGCCCCAACGGCACGGCCTTCCCCATTATCCAATCCCTTCCTCCGATCCCTGCTAACACTCTCTCCCTCCCCACCACCCTCCAGCCGTGCGAGCAAGCAACGGAGTACCGCACGTTGCACCGGCCAGGGCCCAACAGCACGGCCTTTCCCCTGTTCTGACCCCCGATCCCTTTCGCCAACACCTGTTCCCTGCCTCCGACCCCTGCTCGCTCTTCCTCCCCCCCACCTTCCAGCCGTGCGAGCAAGCAACGGAGTACCGCACGTTGCACCGGCCAGGGCCCAACAGCACGGCCTTTCCCCTGTTCTGACCCCCGATCCCTTTCGCCAACACCTGTTCCCTGCCTCCGACCCCTGCTCGCTCTTCCTCCCCCCCCCACCTTCAGCCGTGCGAGCAAGCAACGGAGTACCGCACGTTGCACCGGCCAGGGCCCAACAGCACGGCCTTTCCCCTGTTCTGACCCCCGATCCCTTTCGCCAACACCTGTTCCCTGCCTCCGACCCCTGCTCGCTCTTCCTCCCCCCCACCTTCCAGCCGTGCGAGCAAGCAACGGAGTACCGCACGTTGCACCGCCCCGGCCCAACGGCACGGCGATCCACACGACGTGCATCGAGGGCGTGGTGCATGCCCCGGCTGATGCTGCGCTCGCCATGTCCTGCGATGCACCCTTCTCAAAGAGTGGTCAGTTCTCAGGGCAGGGCTGTGCTGTGCTGTGCTGTGCCGTGCTGTGCTGTGCTGTGCTGTGCTGTGCTGTGCTGTGCTGTGCTGTGCTGTGCTGTGCTGTGCTGTGCTGTGATGTGCATGGGTAGTGATTGCAATGAGTAGGAAATCGAACGGCACGGCAATCCACACGACGTGCATCGAGGGCGTGGTGCACGCGCCGGCTGATGCTGCACCCGCCATGTCATGCGACACTCCCTTCTTCAAGGAATGGTCAGTGGAACAAGCTGACTTGTGAGTCGACTCAAATGTCATGCACTGGCCGATGCTGCGCTCGCCACGCTCCCTTGTTCAAGGAATGGTCAGTGCTCAGGGCTGGATATGAACGAGTAGGATTGGACTGTGCCGTGCTGTGATGCGAGTATTGAGCTGGTAATGTCTGTTGACATGAGTGGTGGTTGAAGTTTGAAACGAGTTCTGCTTTCAACGGATCATACTCTCCCCCCCACCCTCCGGCCTCTCCCGCCCCTCCCTCAGGTGGCCGAACATCAGCATGCCGACATACCGCTGTGAGGAGTTGAGGCACATCAAGCGCGTGGGGGAGATGCACGTTGAGGCGCCAAAACAACTTACCAGGCCTTTTATCCTGTAACGCCCTTCCCGCAGGTGGCCCAACATCAGCATGCCGTCGTGCCGCTGTGAGGAGTCGAGGTGCATCAAGCGCGAGCGAGTGAGCAAGTCTGCATTGAAGCGCCGAAAGCTTACCGTGCCTTTCGCTCCCCCCCGCCCCTCCCGCAGGTGGCCCAACATCACGATGCCGTCGTACCGTGTGAGGAGTCGAGGTATATCAAGCGCGTGGGGAGAACTTCCACCTCCACCCCTTCACACCCGCTGCCAGGTTCAAGGTGCCATGGCCGCTACCCCCGCAGGAGTTTGCGCTCATCTTTGTGACAGTCTACGATGCCACCTCTGGCATGACTGTCACCGTGCTGCGTACAGTGAGTTGCCTACACCCACACACCCCCCTTGCCCTCCTTTCTGTTGCCGGAGGGCCCTTCAGGCACTTCGTCAGGCAGTCATATTTGTAACGGACCTCAACCCTCCCCGCAGCTGCCCGAGAGCCCTGCAACTGCTGACTTCACCAACCGTGGGTACAGCCGGGACGAGCCTTTTCATGACCGATGCAGCAAATTCTTACTGTACCTACCCTGCAACAGCAAGAAGCCTTTCAAATGTGCGCCATTCCCCTTTCAACAGCTGCCTGAGACCCCCCAACTGCCGAATTCACCAACCGCAGGTACAGCCGGGCCGGGACAACCCTTCACATGGATTACGCAGCTTACTGACCAAATCCTTACTCTGCAACCTTTAAGACTTTCTCCTCTCTTTTCACCCACCTTGCAGCTGCCTGAGAACCCCGCGACTGCCGACTTCACCAACCGCGGTTACAGCCGGGAGGACGCGCCGCCGCCCCTTGCCCTCCCTTGAGCTACCCTAGGGCCCTTCAGGCAGCTAGGCATTCGTTTGCAACGAAACCCCTTGATTCTGTGCCCCACCTTTTGCCCCCTTGCAGCTGCCTGAGAACCCCGCGACTGCTGACTTCACCAACCGCGGGTACAGCCGAGAGGGCCTTTCACATGAGAGTGGCCCTCCCAGTCGGAAAGACCCTTCACATGACTTATTAAGCCGCTCCCCCTACCCCCTGCAGCTGCCTGAGAACCCCGCGACTGCCGACTTCACCATTCATGGGTACAGCCGGGAGGAGCCTTGTCATGACTGATGCAACAGTTTCTTACTGTACCCTGCAACCTTACAAATGTGCGCCACTCCCCTCCTTGCAGCTGCCTGAGAACCCAGCGACTGCTGACTTCACCAACCATGGGTACAGCCGGGAGGACGCGCCGCCGCCCCTGCCCGGGCACATGCGCATGGGCATCAGCGGGGGATATGCTGTGAAGGACATGGGCGAAGGCAGGGCGCACATGAGGTGCGTTGGGTGGGGACAAAGGAGGGGGAGGGCGACAAAGGGGAGTGGGTGGAAGTGGTAAGGTGTGTGAAGACACCCCTGCCTGGGCACATGCGCATGGGCATCAGCGGGGGAGATGCTGTGAAGGACATGGGCGAAGGCAGGGCGCACATGAGGTGCGTTGGGTGGGGGAGTGGGTGGTAAGGGGTAAGGTGTGGCGTGAAGACGTCCCTGTCTGGGCACATGCGGATGGGCATGGGGGGTTACACTGTGAAAGACATGGGCGAGGGCAGGGCGCACATCAGGTGCGTTAGGGGGGACAAGGGGGAGGGGGTGGTAGGGGGGGCATGCAATCAGGTGAGGACTATGGGTGTGTTTTTTATCACCCACATCTACTTCATCACCATCATCCATTTGTTCTCTTTTTACCCTTCTACAGCTCAGGTGCCTCTTCATGCTCTACTGTATGCTCTTGATAATCTGCCTGGTATCACCCTGCGGCTGTATCACACCTCTGTACCGCATATCACCCCTGTGTATCTCATCCCTCAGGTGCATATTCACACTGGACCTCAAATTTCCTCCCACGCTCGTCAACTTCATCATCCAGCAGTGCGGTGGAATTGTGTACCAGTGGTTTACAGAGGTGTGTCGAGTGGGTTCACCGTGTATAGAGTGGTTTACAGAGGTGTCTGGAGTGTCTTGAGAGCTGTGTAGAGGCGTTCACAGAGGCATAGAAAGTGGCTCACATATACTTGCCTCATCTGTGTCAGTCTGTGTGTGTGTGTTATGGTGGTATGCTGGGGTTAAACATGGTGAAAACAGCGTTTGGAATGCAACATATTCCCCCTCACTTATCTGTATCTCTCCCCCTTTCCCCCCCTGTACCCATCTCACCCTCTCCCCATATCCCCCTCTCCCCCTCTCGACCTCCCTTGTCAGGAGCTGGAGAGGATATACGACGACCCTTCAAGCACCAAAGGGAAGGCGTTTGGAATCTGCAACATATTCCTTTCTCCCCTCCCTCCCCTGGGTTTCTCTCCCCCTCGCACCCTCCCTTGTCAGGAGCTGGCGAGGATATACGACGACCCCTCGAGCACCAAAGGAAAGGCGTTTGAAATGCAACCTCTGCTTCTCTCCCCATCTCACCCTCTCCCCCGCTCACCCTCCCTCGTCAGGAGCTTGCCCGGATATACGACGACCCTTCAAGCACCAAAGGGAAGGCGTTTCGCCAGGCTCTCCACGACGAGCCCCTTTACAATCACGTCCGGGCAGTCATGGAGAAATATCGGGCTGCCCGGGCAGCTGAACAGCAGCAACTGGAGGCCGAGCAGCAGAGGAAGCACCAGGAGCTGGTGGGCGGTCAGAAAAACGGGCAGGCAGCTGGAGAAAGACTCCGTCTAGACAGCAAAGAAGACGAGGAGAAGTCGTTTCGAGAGTTAGGGGCTGAAGTAGAGGCGAAGATTGAGTCCCTAGTGGCGTCTGTGTCAAGAAGAGCGAGCAGCAATGGCAGCATTGCTGGGGATGGGGTGGAGATTGTGGAGGCTGGGGAATGGGGGTATATGGGGGCGCAAACAGTGGGAAAGGACATGGGGGGGGTTGGGGAGGTGAAGGCAAGTGGGAATCCGGAAGGGTTGCAGATGAAAGCGGGGGGCCAAGATGGTGGTCTTGTGACTGGGCCAGGAGCAGGAGGAGGAGCAGGAGGAGGAGCAGGAGGGGCAGGAAGAGCAGGAGGAGGAGCAGGAGGAGGAGCAGGAGGAGGAGGATGTGGGGGTGGAGGCAGGGGGTGGAGTAAGCAGACTTGCAGCGACTGCTGTGCTGCACAAAGGGCCTCCTGATTCGCCGCAACAAAATGGCATTGTACAGAAGCTTACTGTACAGAAAGGTGCTACAGTGCTGCATACGAAGTACCCACGGAATGGCCGGTATGGGCTAAGAGCATCAGAGAGTCCTGGTACCGGTAATAATGGATGCACACCGAGTGCGAGCGACCACCGTCTCTTCCGAGCCGTTGATACGCTGGACCGGGCCATCGCAGCCCTCCGTTTGCTGCATCCTGCACCCGCGCCAGCAACACCAGCAGCGGCAGCAGCAGCAGTTGGTGCTGGTGGTGGTGCAGCTGGTGGCATGTACAGTCCAGAAAGCAGCGGACCAGGAGCCACTGCAACTGCAACAGCAGCCACAGCAGCAGGCTTGAGAGTGAAAGGGGCGGTTGCGGGAAATGGAAGGCGCAGCTCAGGAGCAGAATCTGCTTTAAGCGATCAATTTGCTGCAGAGCAGCAAACAAGGTGCAGCGAACGAGGCGGAAAGGGTAGGGCTGATGGCGGGGTGAAAACCCCGAATGGGGAGGGTGACCATCTGCCTCAGAAGCAGCATAAGTTACCGCAGCAGGAGCCGCACAAGAGTGGATGGGGAAGGCTGCGGAAAGCTTTGACGATGCTACGGAAGGCAGGCTGACTGTGAGATGAGATGGTGCCATCGCCTGTCTTTCATACGGTGTGCCATGCCAGAAAGCTCACTTGTTATGGGCATTTATTGCGAATTTGGCATGTTAGACTTTCCTGAAGTACTGGAAAAATGGGTAGGAATGCATGGTGCACTAGTGTACATTGCCAGCTAAAACATCAGTGTGTCTTCAACTTAAGGTATATGGTATATCCCAGAAAAATATTGTAACTTGTACTTTAATACCCCAATCTCAATGAAGTACGGCATGTACCAGCACGTAATGAAGCAAGTACCCCATATGCAGTGGCGTAAATTATCTACCATACAGAACAGAGTTCATCCGAGCCCTGGTGGGCGCATTTCCACCAGGTGCCCCCCTGGTGGAAACGGAGCTGGCGGAAGCTTTCTGCCCGGGGCAAAAAAAAACTAAACCCCATCGCGACCCGCATGCCGTTCGGGAGCTGTCAAAATGAGGAATGGATGATGCATTGATGTTGGTTGGGGTACATATAGCTAACCCTAAGTTTTGTACCCCCTAAGACAAACCTCACTATAGGCTACAACATTTGACACACCCCCATAGCCTAAGTGAGGGGTGTCTAGCAGAACCAAACGAGTACGGTCACAAGACCAGTCCAAGAAACGAAGCTCAGGGTGGATCACAACGTCACCACACAGTCTGAGCACAAACAACAGTGGCCACAAGGCCAGTCCAAGAAGTAACAGAGGTATATAGAAAGCAAAGTAAACAGTACACTCAAGTCTAAGCAACACGAGAACCAGTGTCAACAAGGCCTAACTGCACACAGCACCTCTGGTGGTCACAAGGCGGAAGCGCCTTGGTGAAGATGTCTGCAGTGTTGGCCTCGGACTCCACAAACTCAAAGCGAGCCTGTCCACGCCTCTGCAACTCTCGCAGAAGAAAGTACCTGACGTGAATGTGCTTCACTCTGCTCTCCAGTCGTGGCTCTCGACAAAGGAGAATAGACGCCTTGTTGTCAGTGAACAAGGTCGGTGCAGAGCTCGGCCGCTCACCAAGGTCGGTGAGCAAGAAGGTCAACCAACGCAGCTCCTGTGCCGCCATGGCACCAGCGTAGATCTCAGCCTCAGCTGTAGAGGTCGAGACCGAAGAGGAGCGCGTGGACCGCCAGGAAACAGCTCCAGAACCCAGGCTGAAACAGTACCCCTGAGTAGACCTGTGAGTCTCAGCGTCGTCAGCGTAAGAGGAGTCACAGTGACCAGTAAGTACGACAGACTGCTGCCCTCCAAGAACTAGCCCCACGCCTGACGTCGTCGCTAGGTACTTCGCCACCCTCACAGCTGCTGTCCAGTGAACAGGACGGTGTCTCCCTGGCGCAACAAAGCGCGCAAGAACGCTGAGAGGGAAGGCGAGGTCCGGGCGAGTACAAGTCATCAGGTACATGAGGCAACCCACAAGCTCTGCGTAGGGACCACTAGGCTCGAACGGCTCGTCAGGAAAGGGTCCAGTGAGTCTGTGGTCAACAGCAAGAGGTGTGCGCTGTACTGTGGAGTGCTGAAGCCCGAACCGCTGAAGGACCTGCTGCACCATGTGCGACTGTGAAAGTGTAATGGTGCGAGCAGCTCTGTCCCTGGTGATCTGCAGGCCAAGGTAGTGGCGCAGCTCACCAAGATCAGTGCAGGTGTGTCTCTTCTGCAGTTCGGACTTCACGTGTGCCAAAGCAACCCTGTCAGGGGTGGCGAAAACAAGGTCGTCAACGTAGACCAGAACAAAGAAAGGTGTGGGGCCACGACGAACGAACAGCGACGGGTCAGCAGAAGACGGCTGGAACCCAAGGTCAGACAGGGTAGAACGCAGGGTGTCGTGCCACTCACGAGGAGCCTGACGAAGACCGTAAACCGGTCGCCTCAGCCTCCACTGGGTCCCAGGAGGGAAAGAGCCAGTGAAGGCAGAGGGACGACGCAACCAGACCTCCTCGTGAAGACTGCCCTGAAGGAAAGCAGTAGAGAAGTCGAGAGAGTGTAACTCGTAGTCTCTCTGTGCTGCTACGTGTAGTAACACCCGAAGAGTGGTCATCTTCGGGGTGGGCGCGAAGGTCTGAAAGAAGTCAACTCCCTCGCGCTGACTGAAACCTCTAGCCACGTAGCGCGCCTTGAAGACCGGAGGAGATCCCGGTGGCCGCTTCACCCTGTAGATCCACATGCCGTCGACTACGTTCGCCCCCGGAGGGGGAACCTCATCGACGTAGGTGCCTGTGGATCTGTAGGAGGCCATCTCTGCGTCCATGGCAGCTCTCCACTGAGAGGCCCAAGGCCCTGACACTGCCTCAGCGTAAGTGCGAGGAGTCGGAATGTCAAGGGCGTCGGGGTCACCCTCAGGGGCGAGGAGCATGGCACAGAGATGAGGGGAAGCGGCCGCCAGGAACTCTAGCTCAAACTGCCTGTCCTCTAGGGCGTCACAGCCAAGGGCAGACACACCCCCGACGGCCAGAGGACTGGAAGGAGGAGCAGCCACAAGAGCGGTGGCGAAGTCAAGGCGGCGGGTAGAGGCAAACTCAGTGACTGCGGCAGTAAGAGCGGACACAGAGGACACAGAGGCACGAGGGTGGGTAACAAGAGAGGCGAGAACACGAGAGAGAACAGGACGGTACGTGCGGTAGTAGTCAGTGACAGGAGAAGGAAGCGACACAGTGAGGGCCGACTCAGGAGGAGACGGAAGCACAGACGGAGACGGACGAGGTGGACGAGAACAAAGGAAGGCTGTACGAAGGTCAGTGAAGGGAACAGGAGACGAGGGACGAGCACGAGGGGAGCGACGAGAGGCCCAAGTCTGAGAAGGAGGAGGAGACAACGAAGACTGAGAACGAGGGAAAACAGCGGGAGAGGGGTCAGGAGGAGGAAGCGGAGGACCAGAGACGGGAGGAGAGGGGGAGGAGGAAGGAGAGGGAGACGGGAGACCAAGGGTCCGAAGACCCGAGACAGGAGGAGGAGACGGCAGCAGCTGCTGCTGCTGCTGCTGCGGCTGCTGCGGCTGCTGCTGCTCCAGCGGCTGCTGCCTCTGCTGCTGCTCCTGCTGCTGCTCCTGCTGCTGTCGCTCCTGCTCCTCGAGCCGCTGCAACTCTCTCTCCTCTCTCTCCAACTCCAGCTGCTCCTCACGAGCACGGCGAACACGAGCCTGGAACCTGGTCGGGTAGGGGTGGGGGGAAGGAGTAGTGTCCGGGGCAGCGGCAGCCCCAGAGTCGACCTCCGAAGCACCAAGCACACCACCCCCAGAGGCAGCACCAACACCAGCTCCAGACCCAGGCTCTCCAGAAACCGAAGGGACACCCTCACCCCCAGACGCAGCACCCCCAGACTCCGCACGACCAGTACCAGCCCCCGGAAGACAAGAGTCCTCTGCAACCCGCGGCTCAGCTCCAACTCCAGCACCCCCAGAACCAGAGACCTGTACAGGGACAGTCGCAGGACCAACCTCCCGAGAGGGAGCACCTGCAGGAGGCGGCGAGGAAGACTGTGGGGAGGGAGGCTGTACAGGGGGGGCTACCGAAGGGGGAGGGCTAGCCTGAGACACACCAGACGGGGCTGGACCAGGGGGGGGAGGCTGTACCGGGGGAGCAGGCGGGGGAGCGGCGGTCAGGAAGAGAGGGGGGGGAGGGACCGGGAGACCTCGACTGGGGTACCTGACGTAGTAGGGGGTGGACTCCTCGAAACGGACGTCACGGGAGTCAAAGAACCGGTGAGAGGGAGGGTGGTAAAAGGTGAAGTCAGAGGAGTCCTCAGGGAAACCAAGGAAGACACAAGGAACGGCGCGAGGCGAGAGCTTGTCCGCGGAGGTGTCGCGGACAAGAGCCAAGCACCCCCAGACACGAAACCTCGACGCGACACCAGGGGACCCTGTCCAAAGACTGGTCGGTGAAGCCTCCGGCCGAGAGACGCGTGGCCAGAGGTTCAGCTGGTGCGCGGCGTACCTGACCGCGTATGGCCACAGGAAATGGGGGGCACGGGCGTGAGTCAAGGAGGTGCGGGCAATCTCCATGACCAGGCCTATGCGACGCTCAGCAACCCCATTCTGCTGTGGGGACTCCGGAAGCGTCCAGGACTGACGAATGCCCTGTTCGCGACAGAATCCAGCGAGAATGCCGGAGCGAAACTCGCCCCCGCGGTCGGAGTGGAGACAGCTGACACGACGACCACGAGTGTCCTGGGTGGTAAGCAAC